TTCTCGACCAGTTGGTTGTTTTACATGTGTACTGCTTAATTTCCACATATTTTTAGATTTTCTAATTTTCCTTATGCTATTAATTTCTAGTGTCATTTTTGGAAAAGATAATACTTCATGTTACTTGAATTATATATTTTGTTTTTTTAGACAGAGTTTCTTTGTGTAGCTCTGGCTGTCCTGGAACTCGCTCTGTAGAGCAGGTTGTCTCAGAATCTGCCTGTGCCTCCCCAGTCCTGGGATTAGAAGTGTGTGTCTGGTGCCTGTGTAGTTCAGAAGAGGGTGATCCCCTGAGACTGGAGTTACAGGAGTTGTGAGGCACCGTGTGGGTGCAGGGAATCAAACATGGGTAGCCTGCAAGAACATGTGCTCTTGAGCCAGGGAGTGGAGGTGGGGTGGCAGCAGCAGGCTGCGGTGCACACCTTTAATCCCAGCACCCAGGAGCAGAAGTAGGCAGATCTCTGAGTGTGAGACCAGCCTGGTTTATAAAGTGAGTTCCAAGATAGCCAGGGCTATGCAGAGAACCCTGTCTCAGATAAACAAAAAAACCCCATACAAACAAAAAACCCTGAAAAAGAACAAGCGCTCTTAATGGCTGGAGACAGCACTCCAGCTCCAATAATAACATTCTTAATACCCCAATAATCTGTATATTGATCTGTGACTCTTGGACACCAATTGTTATCCTACAATTCAGTTAAATTCTAACTACTTGCTGGGTGTAGTGACATATGCCTGTAATTCCAGCACTTGGGAGGACAGAGACAGGTGGATCTCTGTGAGTTCAAGGTCTATAAAGCATCCAGGATAGCCAAGGCTACACAAAGGACCTTGTCTCAAAAATATATAAATTAATTAAAAATAAATTAATTCTAACTACTCATAGATTCTACAGATCTTGTTCCAGGTTTCTTACACCAAATGCCAGTCAAAATTCCATAGATATGATCAATTGGCTATAAATTGAGAGTTAAACCTCCCCCACTCTAGTTTGGTAACTGGCTATAATGAAGGACAAAAACTCGGAAAAAATATTTACTTTCCTTGTCTTTTGCTGTGACAAATACCTTGACAAAAGCATCTTCAGGGAGGGAGGGTTTACTTCAGCTCACAGTTCAAGGTACATCCTGCTAGAGAAGTCAAGGCAAAGGCAAGAGCTTGAGGCATCGGCTAGACTGCATCCACCATTAGGAAGTACCCCTGCTCCTCCACAGAGGCCATTTAGGGAGAAAAAATTCCGACCCTCTATCTGATGGCTGGATGCTCCTAAGCTATTTAGGTCCTCCATCTTGTCATCTCACCAGCTCAAACTTGAGGTATGACTGAAAGTGGCTAGTTAATGATGACTAAAGGTAATTCTGTCCATCACTCAGCAAATTCTCAGGCTTTTGGATGCTAAGAATCAGAGCAAATATACTTTTAAGTGGCATAGCTGGAAACAAATAAGATGATAGAAAACTAATTATTTAGAAAGATGCATATATTCTGTGCACCACAAGCATGTCTGGTGCCATGGACCCCTGGAACTACAGTTACAGTTTTGAGCTGCCATGTGGTGCTGGAAAGACAGGAGTTCTCTGGGTAGCCCTGGCTGTCCTGGAACTTGGTCTGTTGACTGGCTGGTCTCAAACTGAGATCTGCCAGCTTTTGCATCTACATGGTGGCTCATGCTTGCCAGATCCCCTGAGGTTGGAGTTCTAGACAATCATGAACCACCATGTAGGTGCTGGTAACCTAACTGAAAGAGCAGCCAGTGCTCTCAACCACCAGTTCCTCTCACCTGCCCTGTCCAGTTGGTGCTGCTTGTTAGAATGTTGACTGATTCTGCACAGAAAATCATAGCTGCAATGAGCTTACGGGTGCAACAGCCATGTCATGTCCACAGATGGCATTTCACAACAGTCTCCTGATTCCCTGACTCTTACAGTCTTTTCACTCCTCTTCTGGATGGTTCCTCAACCTTGGGGACAGGGGTTGATACAGATCCCATTTAGAACTGAGAATTCAATAGACACGAATTCTCAACACTTTGGCCAGTTATGAATGTGTATTAACTGCTGACTAGTACAGAGAGAAGCTTCTCTAGCCAGGGTGGAGGGCAGGACTAATCTATGAGTATAAACGTAAATGTGTGTGTGTGTTTAAACTCAATTGGTCTATTTTTACCAACAACAAAGACCCAGAAGCCAGATGCTGGGTGAAAACTGCTAGTTCAGAGAGGCAGAGAAACCACCTAGCTGACTTTCCTACTCAGCCAGCATCCCAGAAGGAAAGAGCCCTTTTCCATGCTGACTTCAAAACCATGCAAACAGAATGTCCCTCCTGTCTATTCCCTGTGCATCTTTTTATCCATCCTCCAGACTTCCTCTTATTCTGATTTTTTTCTATGTTCACTTCCTGTGAACTGGTTGTTTACTCTGCCTCTTGACCATTGGTTGACTTTATTTAATCCTGTTTACAGAAAGCTCTTGGATTAAAGGTGTATGTTAGGGATGGGCCACACCACAACTAGAAACAGGTTTTTCCAGTACACCATCTCAGGGTTTACATTGTAATCAAATATCCTGCAACAAATATGTTGTTTAACAAAACAACAGTTTGTAGTTTCTTCCCTAGGAGCTGGACCTGGACCTCCTAAACTGCTGGGATCTGACCAGCTATAAATATATATATTTTATATTTTTATTAATTACAGCTTATTCACTTTGTATCCTACCTGTAGGTCCCTCCCTCTTCCCCTCTCAATTCCACCCACCCTCCCTCTTCTCTACCCATGCCCCTCCCCTAGTCCACTGATAGGGGAGGTCCTTCTCCCCTTCATCTGACCCTAGCTGATCAGGAGTGGCTGCATTGTTTTTCTCTGTGGCCTGGTAAGGCTGCTCCCCCCTCAGGGGGAGGTGATCAAAGAGCAGGCCAATCAGTTCATGTCAGACAGTCCCTGTTACCATTACTAGGGAACCCACTAGGACACTGAGCTGCCATGGGCTACAGTTGCAGGGGTTCTAGATTATCTCCATGGATGGTCCTTGGTTGGAGTATCAGTCTCAGAAAACACCCCTGTGTCCAGATAAATATATATTCTAAAGGATTTTATGAACCTAAGCAGTTATCTTAGTGCTTCACATAATGATGCTTAATAAATACTTGGCCAATTATAGCAATCTGCAAAAAAGATTATAATATGATTGTAGCAAATACCATTGTTCTTCTGCAGAAATATGACAAGTGTCTATCTTATAAAAATGTTGAGGCTTAATAATGCTTTAGGTGGGACCTTGGATTCAAAACACTTGTTTTCTGAAATTAAAGAAGAATTTAACGTAAGAACTCCTTTAAGAAGGTGGAAAAGTATTTTATCAATGTCAGGGTGAATGTGTTTCCTTTCCAGCTAATATTAATTTTAATTGTGTGAGTTACAAATATCCTATATAACTTGGAACTGAGAGTTTTAGAGAAAATTTAAAGTTGTAAAATCTCAGTGTTGGATAACACTTCAGAATGTATCCACTTATCAGCTCCCTCCGGTGCAGTGCCTGACTCTCATCGCTCCTTGATTTATTAAGCAATAGCACTTTGGAGACTGAGGTGCAGACATATGTCAGGCAAAATGCCTACACATACAAAACAAAATATATATTTTTTAAAGGCAAGGACAACCCATCATGACCCACAATGGGCTGCCAAACCCACATCAACCATTAATCGAGAAAATGCTCCACAGACCTGTTCATGGGGTACTCTGATGGGGGCAATACTTCAATTGAGATCACCTCTTCCTGGAGAAGTCTAGGTATCTGTTGACAGAAACTAACCAGCGCAGTGTACATTAAGGTGGTGTGAAGCAGACAAGGGTGCAGAGGTAGGAGGGCAACTTTACAGAGTCAGTTGTCTCCATCTGCTGTGCATTTCAGGGCTGGAGTTAGGGCCTCAGGCTTGAGCCATCTGGCTGGCCCAGGGTCACACAAATGCTAACAGGAAAAATAACAACCATTTTAACTAACTTTGCCATCTGGTAATGAAGTGAAAGCACTTTATTTCTCAAGCAATAAAACATCTTATTAATTTACTTTCTAAAAATTAGTAGAGAAGTTTAATTCAAGGGAAAAAAATTAGCTGGACATGGTGGCGAATACTTTTAATTCCAGTAGTGGGGAGGGAGAAGCAGGTGGACCTTTGTGTGTTTGAGGCCAGCCTGGTCTACAAAGTGAGTTTCAGGACAGCCAGGGCTACATAGGAAAATTCCATCTCTCTCTCTCTCTCTCTCTCTCTGTTTCTCTCTCTCTCTCTCACACACACACACACACACACACACACACACGAAAGAAAAAAAAAGATATGGGATGGGGTGGGGTGAGGAGGAGGGAAAAAAAAATCACACCTGTTTCAATACAGTTAATAATGCAATTCTAGGGGCCGGAGAGATAGCTTGGTGGTTAAGAACTGGCTGCTCTCCCAGGGAAGCCAGGTTCAATTCTCAGTGCCCACAAGGCAGCTCACAACTGTCTGTAACTCTAGTTCCAGGGATCTGACACTCTCACAGAGACAAACATGCAGGCAAAACACCAATGTACTCAAAATTTAAACGGAAAGGTCATTCTAAAATTAATGCAATTCTGTTTCGGGCACACACACACACACACACACACACACACACACACACACACACACACGAGGCCCATTTACAAATCTCAGGGAAAACCAGAAAGGCTTCAACGGAAGGGACTCATAAACGTGGATGTAGTTCCAGAAGCAGAACGGGCACTCACTAGCAGACTCAGAAAAAGGAGATGTCAGCTCAAGACAAGGGCGACCTTTTGAACACTGAAGTAGCTGAAGTCAGGACCACTTGCCTGGACGTAGACTTAGAATAACAAACAAACGAAACCCGAAAGGACTGGAGAAGACCGCGTTGCCGTTACTGTAACGCATCTTTCATCAGAGATTGTACACTTAGCATTGCTATTATGAACTCCTGAGGCATAAAGCTGGTGGCAGCTGAGCTCTCACTGGATTCGGAAAACCAAGCGGCTAAGGAGAGGGTTTCAGTCCAGAAAACCAGGCGTTCCATCCTCGGATGCTCCCTCCGCAGAGCAGTAGGAACCGCGAAGCGAGAGGCAGGAAACGCAGGAGTTGTGGGCGTGAGGCGATGGGCGAACGCTTCCCAGGGTAAGACACGCAGTTTCGCGCTGGGGGGCTACGCGCGAGAGAAGCAGCAGCTGCACTGGCCGGGCACGGGCACCTGAAGCCCACGGGTGACGGGCTGCGCGGCTGGGACCCCGCACCGCGCGGCCCGCTCGCGGCAGGCACCCGCGCATGCGCAGAGCCCAGAGCCGCGCGCGATGCCCGGCCGCGGCTGACAGAACCAACCGCCCGGCCTCGCCCGGTGCCGGCTGCCGCCACCCTCACGCCAGCGCCGCGACCGGGCTCACGCTTGTCTCCTCCTCGCCGCTCAGGACCCCGCGGTCCCGTCAGGCCGCCGAGGGCTCGACGCCGACGGCGGCTGCGACGGCCCCGGAGGCGCGAGAGGCGCCGTGGTCGCGGCGGCGATTGGCCGGCCGCGGCGCCTGCTCCCATAATGCAGCGCATGGCGCGTCATTGAAGAGAGACCATGATGGCGGCGGCGCTGGGGCCCCCAGAAGTGATCGCTCAGCTGGAGAACGCGGCCAAAGTTCTGATGGTGAGGATGCCGGGCCCCGAGGACCGCGGGGTCAGTGGGACTCCGGCTGGCCCTCCCGCAGCAGGCCTGCTGTCCGCTGGGGTGGTGGCCGGGAAGGGCCTTGGGATGGACCCTGAAGTGGAGGTGGTGGTGGCGTGGCGCAGGATTCTCCATCCTACTTTCCTCCTGCCTTAGTCCCTCACTTTCTAGAGCTGTGCTCTTTCCTGACCGCCTCGCTCCTCAGCCTGGCAACTGGGGTGTAGTGGTGTAAGATGGGAGTTTCCTGGGCCGTCTGCTTCGCTCTACACCGCGCTGGGCAGACTGGGTAGCAGAGCAGAGCATGGGGAGGGAGATTGGGGTGAACCTCGCAGGACTTGGGTCAGGGAACATTCTTGGGACTGTGTTCAGGACTCTGGGGAGTTGATTCTGTTAGACGAGGGATGGCATAGTCTGAGTACTCCTTGCAACCCTTGTTCCTTTCCTTGTGCATCGAGTTCCCTAGCTCTTTGCCTGACATGCAGGCAGTTCTAGGTAACCGCAGCCGGCGGCACGTGGACGGACCGGCAGGAGGGAGGGTAATCTTTAGGACCAAGGTCGTTGGGGCAAAACTTGGTTCAAGACCGATCTCCATGTGGGTTTCGAGTTTTGGAAAATTGACTCTATGGTAATCCTTAACTGAAGTCTTACAACTACTACTAAATAGTTGGATGAGGTTGTTTGAGCAGGATGTCGGGATTATAAACAGTTCTACACAAGAGTGCAAAACTAAGTATAAACTTTGTTCAGTTTCTCAGTAAACTGTGTGTCTTATGCTTGCTGACTCACCTTGATTTTTTTCTTTTTAAAATAATGACGACTGCGTTTGTAGACTTTTTTTTTTTAAACTCAGATGTCTATTTACAGACTTGACACGACTTATACTTTTTAAGAATTGAATGCAACCAGATTTTATTTTTACCCTGGAGTTTTTTTTTTTTTTTTTTTTTTACTTCAAGGTTAGTGTTAAGGATTGTGTTGGAGCATCGTGTTTAAGGAATTTTTAGCTTGGATCTGGAGAGATGGCTCAGTGCTTAAGAACATATTATGCTCTTTCAGAGAACCTGAGTGGATTCCCAGCACCTTTGTCAAATGGTTCAACCACTTGTAACTCCAGTTCCATTACAATACATATTCTATAGTTTTTCCTTTTTATTTATTTACTTTTTTCATAAATGACATATACTATGAATATTATCTCTGACTTAAAACAGTGTTAGCAATACTTTTGTGAACAGTAGCAACTCAAGCTATCCAGACATGTGGGATGTAGGGACAATTACAGGTTCCTTAAGCACCTGTTTCTGCCACTCTTCAGAGATACTGTTTCTTGAGTCTCCACATGGACCATCTCTAGTATTATAAAAACATACACACAGGCCTACTTGCTGTGTGGAATTATGCATTTAATTCCAGCACTTAGGAGGCAGAAACAGGAGGATCTCTTTTAGACTAGGCCTGTTCTGCATGAGAGTTCTAGGACAGCCAAGGCTACTTGGCTGTTAAAAAAAACCTAAAAACCAAATTAAAACAAAACAAGTAAAAGAAAATATATCAGAAAGAATAAGTATAAAAATAATAATTTTAAACTTTAAGACAGACTCTCTATATATTCCCGGATTTTCTGGAACTCACTACACCTAAAACATACAGATCCACCTGCCTCTGTCTCCTAAGTAAGGGCTGGGATTAAAGGCCTGAACCACCCTGTCTAGAAAAAAACAAAACAAAAACCAAAATGTAGATCTTATAATATGTGATAATATATAGTATTTGTTTGTTTTGTTGCTGGGGGAGGCACAGTTTGAAATGATCGGGCTGTCCTGGAACTCCCTATGTAGATCAGGCTGGCTACAAATTCACAGAGATCTGCCTATGCCACCACACCCAGCCTGATTTTTTTTTTAAATGGAAAGATTTGAATAGATATGGAAAGATATTCAAGATAAGTGGGGTAAAGGTACAGAAAAGAATTTATGACCTATTTTGGTTTCTTTAGAAAAATTAGCAGGGTGTGGTTGCTCATGCCTTTAATCTCAGTACTTTGGGCCATGTAGACATGCTGGATGCAAGCCTGATCTACCAACAAGCAGTGGTTCTCCATCTTCCTTGTGCTGTGACACTTCAGTGCAGTTCCTCCTATTGTGGTGACCCCCAAGCATAAAATCATTTTTGTTGCTACTTTATAATTTGCTACTCTTATAAATTGTAATGTAAATGTGTGATGTGCAGGATATCTGATATGTAGCCCCTGTTTGTGACCCACATGTTGAGAACCACTGGCAGAGAGTTCTGGGACAGCCAGAGCTACACAGTGAGACCCTGTCTCAAGAAACCAAAAAGCCAAAAAAAGAAGACGAAAAAAATCTGTGTGTATTTGAGTCTACAAAGAACAGCAATGGACTGTCTGAACTAAATAGTTCAGAATGACAGTGTAATGTGATTGATGTGACAAGAGCCCTCAACTTCTGCTTTAATATGTAACTTGAAATGTTTTATATTATAAAACATTATTTGAATCATAAATAATTTTTGAACTCAGGTCTCCTGTAAGAGCAGTGCATGCTCTTAACTGCTGTACCATCTCTCTCGTCCCCCAGAATTAATTTTTTTTTAGTTGATCATTGTATGTATTTTGGGGGAACTAGGTGATGTTTAGATACATACATACATGTACATACACAGTATAATGTTCAAATAAAGGTCTTTTATCTTAAAGAAAATTAGAAGTGTGTCATAGATCATATTAAGGCTGGGTTTGTAGTTTTGCATTTGTAGGTCAGGTTATTTTGTTTCTACAGACTTGTGTAATTGCTGCTAGCTTATCATAATTTTGTCAACAAATACAGAAATGCCTTTCAAGAGAAAAAGTTAAGAGAAGGGAGACAGGGATTTACTCTCTATTCACTTGTAATTGTGGGAAAAGTGAGGTCACCTGTAAAATAATAATATTTCAGAGGAGAGCCTTTCAAAGTTTAGAATGTGTATAATCAGTCTTGGGTGACTGTTAAAATTCCAGATCCTAATGCCTTGCCTAGAGAAGTTCTGATTAAGGCAGTATTTCTTTTTATTTCCTGGTCTTTGATGGCCGAAAGCCTTAAGATCTGAAAGCTCAGCAGAGTTGTTGGCTCCTGCTTTACAGTCCAGCTATAAAGCTCTTCCCACCAACTGTCTTGGTTTTCTACCAGGGCTAGCTACATAATTTGCAGTGCAAATGAAAATGTTAAAAAGGGGATTGAAAGTGCCGCTGAAAATTGTAAAATAGTTAAATGTTTTCTTGTAAAATAGGTGGTGGAGGATGGCTTAGTTGTTATGGTGCATGCTGGGCGGGCATGAAGACCTGCATCCAGATCCCCGGAAGCCAGATGTGGTCAGACATGTCTACTCCCAGTACTGGGAGACACAGACAAGCAGATCCCTGGGGCTTGCTGGCCAGCCATTTTCAACAGTTGGTAGGCTCTGGGTTCAAAAAGAGACCTGTCTCAAACAGGACAAGGTGGAAAGCAGTAGAGGGAGGCACTTGACATCAACCTCCAGCCTCCACAAACACCTGCACATGTGCCTACATGATACACATGTACATACGCATCCATGATAGGCATAATTTTGATTTCTGAGCAAGACAGTTCACAAAACATGGTGTTTTGGTGTCACGGGGTTTAAAATTATTATTATTATTATTATTATTATTATTATTATTATTATTATATTTATGTGTGTGGTTGTTTTGCCTTAGGTATGTCTGCACCATGTGCATGCTTGGCTTCTGCTGAGGTCAGAAAAGGGTGTCAGATTCCCAGGAGTTTACATAGGGTTGTGAGCCACTATGGATATTTTGAATTGAACCCAGGTCTTCTGGAGGAGCAGCCAGTGCTCTTTACCACTGAGGCACCTCTCCAGGCCTCATCATTTTTATATAATATAGTAGTAGTTGATGTGATATCTTGACTGATCATGTTTTTCTGTAAGTATATTAAGCTTATTGGTGCTTTTGTTTGTTTTGTTTTGAGATAGGCCTGAAACATATACCAAGCTGGCCTTGAACTCTAGAGATCTACCTGCCTTTGCCGCCCAAGTGTGTGCCATGTGCCAAGAATTTTAAAAAATTCTTTTTGTAAGTTGATTTTCAGACAGTAGAGTTGAAAGTGACATGAGTGGCCCTTGCCAATCATAAGAAAGACTGCAGTTTTTTTTAATTTTAGAAAGATGTTTCTACTGATGCATCTATTACTGTAGCTGCTATATTTTAGTATTAGTCACATTAGAGTAGTTTTCTAGTTAATTATTTTGAAGTATATTTGGAGCTTATGATTCTTGCAGATTTTTTTCTAAAGTTTTTAACTCTATACAAAGCAGTCTTACATAAATTTGAATTTAGTTTAGATGTAAATGTATGTAGTATTTTTGTTTTTCTTCTGACAGTTGTTCTTGGTAGAAGTCATACAGTACATTCTTAGAGAGTCGCTTCATGAGCTATGTATAATTAAGAGTCCCTGAGTAAGCCAGGCATGGTGATGCACACCTATAATCCAGCACTCAGGAGGCAGAGGCAGGCAGATCTCTGTAAGTTTGAGGCCAGCCTGGGCCACAGAGTGAGTCCTGGACAGCCAAGGCTGTTACACAGGGAAACCCTGTCTCAAAAAACAAACAGAACAAAACAAAAACCCTCTGATTATACATCCTTCTGTTTTATCTTTAATTACAAGAAATCATTTTAAAGTTCTTCCTCAATAGAAATTAGTTCATGTAAAGTTTTGTATTAAAATAGCATCTTAGGCTGGTAGGATAGCTATAGTGGTAGAACTCTTGCCCAGTGTGCATCAGACCCTGTGTTCAAAACTAATTTGAAGCTGGGGCAGCCCTGGGAGACCCAGTTCATTCTTGGCTGCAGATGAGACACTGTCTCAAAGAAGCAAACCAAAAACACTGTTTACTGATTTGGATTAACAGACCAATGATACTGTAGGTTTCTCTAAAGCACCTAA